ACCTGGACCTTCTGTCCCCTAACTTCAGGGCTCTTTTCTTTGATCCAGTGGCCATTTAATGCTTTTGTGTCTGTAAGCGTAGGGTAGCATTTATGCATGAGAAAGTTTGGTGAACATCAGCCTTGTCTTAGTGACTCTTCACCTCAGGTTCATCTCTGACGTTCAAGGTGCAAGTGAAGATTTCTGTGTTAGCTCTTACAGCTAACACATTGTCAGAAGATGCCCCTTTGGGAAGGAATTCTGACTTTTAGAGTTTTAGTCCAAAGTATTTTCCTCAAATGGGTTAAACAGAATAATCAGATCATTCTTATTCTTACTCTTTTGGACATTATTCATATCTGCTTATTAAAAAACAAAACAATAAAAGAAAAACATAATACCATCTCACAAGCTGCCTTGGTGTGAACAAGTCACTTTTTGGTGATTTATGCAGATTTCTTACTAGGTCTATGAATTGTAGAGCACATACTTTGCCAAGGCTTTTGATATCAGCAGCTCTTGTGCGAAGTTACTGTATGAATATAATAGTAGTAGTAGTTGTTGCTCAGCATGATGAAAAAAACTGTTCATAGTCTAAATGAAAAATATGAAGATAATCTGACAGAAAACCACCTGCGAACCTGGTCTTGTCTCCTTTTATGTCTTCTGTTTTCTACAAAGGATCTGAGTATTTATTTAAAGTGCTTTAGCAGGATATCCCAGGTAAAGCTTTTGACAGTCTATTTACAGTTCGCCTCTGCCCAGGGGCAATTAAAGACAGATTACAGGATAAGGGAGGCGACTCTCCGGCAAGAGCAGGAGGATGTGCGGTGGGATTATGGATGCTGAAATGAATCTGGGTAGAGTGACATGCCTGCAATAGTCCTGTGTGTTCATAATTTCACAAGAATTCACCTGCACAAATCTGGAATTCTTATCAATTCTTTATTGTAAATGAAACTAAATTTTAAAGAGAGAGAATACAGAGGATGCACAAAGATCTACATGACAGTATTAAAAAATATTCTTCCAGCACAAAGACATTTAATCCTTGTTTGTCAAACTATTCTGTCTGCTTGAAAAATTGGCCCAGGGCCCTGGGGCTTCAGGGTTAGGAAAGAGACGGAAATAGCAAAAGAGCAGGCAGCTGCCCTTTGGGCTGTTGGATTGGAGTGTTTCTTTTCTTACCCAAGTACCTGGTCTTCTGCTCTGGCTTTCATGCCAAAGCCAGGGGGATGTGTCCACTCTGACCAGTTCTATTCATTCATTGTAAGAAGTGCTTGCTTTGTGCCCTCGTAGTGCAGGAAAGGAGGCACCCACACGCTTCTCTGCTGGCTTTTTGTTCAGCACACAGACTCTCGTACGCAGTGGCTACTGTGTCCCGCTGTCTGTCTACACCAGGAGATTCGGGTGTTTCCAGTCATCTCGCCTCTCCCAAGCCCTGAGCTTCAGGGCTTATATGCCCCTGAAATGCTCTGCTTTCTGAAATTCGAGTATTTCTATCAACTTGATCTATTTCTTGGTAAACTCCATTGGACTTAAGAGAAACTGCCTGAAAGTTTTCTCAAAACCCTAATTACAAATACATGGTGCCTTCAGTCTACTGAAGTTGTGTTAAATATCCGGTCCTGGAGAAGGAGCCCCACAGGAACGCAGCGATGAGCCGTGGGGAAGCCCAAGGAGAACGGAAGTCCCGTTTCAAGTGGGAAATGTATCAGACTCATAACACTTGGTATGAGATTCTCCTGAACTCACTGTGGGAATTCTGAATTAACTTAAGTGCCATAATGCCAAGGATCAGAACTTGACTTATACCAAGAAGCATGGTAGAAGCAATGTAAGTCTCAACATAGTGTTTTAGGATACTCGGTTTACACATTTAAAAAATTAATTCCATATTAATTGAAGCACAGCTAAGTAGGAAAATTCTCGAGCAGTGAAAAATAGAAACCTCCTTCCCTGCCCCTCACTTTTACCTCTGCCCCTGCTCTCGTTCCCCATCCTCCACGGTATGTCTGTGTGCAGTCTTCCCCAATGTGTGTCTTTGGTCTGCCTGTGTATCTGCATGTAATTTTAGATTTACCTACAGGCTATTAGTGGACTAAGATGTCTCATTTTGCTGCTTCCTTAGTCACTTGCTCTTTAAGATCCATGTGCTGTGTTCTCTGTGTCCCGTTGGCCCTGAGCCCTGCCCAGCACTACCCGGTGGTCCCTGGACGCCACATTCCCGTCCCTGCAGTGACCGCAAACACAAGCTCCAGTTTCGAAAGGACTGCATTACACTTTTTTGAACTGGGTTTTTTGTGTGTGTCAATTTGGTGTTTCGGTGCTGCGCTGAAAAATTTTAGCAACAACATGTAAACCATCGACTAAACTAAAATAGGAAATTTGATGGACAGACACATGCCAGAGAAACATCCCTTATTCAGAACCGCTTCGTAGAGAGCTGTAGCCCCCTGGTGATCATGTTCAGGAAAACAGTCAGTGTGGCTCAGTGGCAGAGTCAGGGCCAGTGTCACGTTTGTCCTGTCACCCTTGTGAACCAGAGCTCCAGGAAAACGCTGCGACACTCCACCTTGCCACACAGTAGTTCTGGTTCCACGCTGAGCCTCTGAGCAGAGTAAACGTGCAAACACGGCCAGTGCCCTTGACATTGGTGAGATGGCATGGCAGATTGGGCAGAGGCGGGCAAACCCAGTTTGTGCCCTGTGAGAGTTCACAAGTTAGTCACATGGCACCGGAAACCCTACGTGACTGAAATTTTTTCCCAGCCACTCTCTGAGGAAACCCCATCACCATTCCCATACCGCACTCATTCAGAATTATCATACCTCTTTGCTCAAAAGTCTGATAGCCGCGACATGCCATCTATACACCTCCCACGTTCCAAGGCCTTGCTCACCCCACCATTTTCCACTGAGAAGAGCTGGAACGGAAGCAGCATCTATGCTCACTAGGACCCGGATTTGCATTCTCGCTTCTCACTTCTTAGCTGGGTGACCTCGAGGACGTGCCCTAATTTCTCTCTTCCTTTGAAACTGCCTGGTTTGCAAACAGGCGCGATGCGTGATGTGTTCGGTGTGAGAACTGGATGAGATGACACGTGTGAAACACTTGGGAGCATGGGAGGCATGTAGCGAGCGCCGGCTCGGTGCTGTCGTTCAGCCCGCTGTGCTCCTCCTCTCCCTCCCACCCAGCCCGTCCCACCGACAACGAACACGCGTCGGCTTCCAGGCCCTTTCGTGTCCTTTCTCCGCCTGGGTTACACTCCTCTCTCCCCTGTCTACCTAAATCCTGCCTGCTCTTGCCGGGTCCCTACAGCAGCGATTTTCAACCTGTGTGCCTCGGCAGGCACCCTGGCAGGCACGAGGATTTTTAAAACAGGCAGTACTGAGTATTTAGTCAGGGCGCAGACCCTTTTCCTGAGATTGTCAAATAAAATGATAACAGCAATAGTCATCTGGTGTCAGTGAATCAAAAGTAGACCTATTTTTTTGTCGGATAAACAAATAATATAGTACTTGGTGTACTGCAGAATTGCAGTAAATTAGCGTGTGCCATGCGATAAAAAAGGTTGAAAATCGCTGCCCTGGAGCATGGCCCTGGCAGTTCCTCCGTGTCCTCCACGCCCTCCTCACCTGGGCCCGGCGCCTTTCCCACCGCCTGCATCACTCCACCTATTTCACGAGTGTTCATCTCATCTCCTAACGGGCACTCGAAGCTCTAGAGAGCAGAGGCCGTTTCTGTTGTTGTTTTGTTCCTTGGAAAAGAAAACCTCTGTCGTCCATACCGGGAACAGCTGTGCTTTTTAAAAACTGTTGATTTAGCCCTGACTGGTGTGGCTCGGTTGGTTGGTCCTGCAAAAGTGAAAGGTTGCTGGTTCCATTCCTGGTCAGGGCATATGCTTGGCTTGCAGGTTCAGAGGCAACCAATTGATCTTTCTCTCTCTCATCGATGTTTCTCCCTCTCTTTCCCTCTCTCTAAAATAAATAGATAAATAAGTAAATACCATTGATTTTGTTTCGGGCTTACAAACACCAGATCTTATATCTGCTTGTGTTTTTATTTCCCCCTTTGCACTGACTGTTGGGGAGCTCAGAGCCCAGGTTGAGGTTTCTATCCAGCAGGTACATTGTACTTCATGGCCAGTGTTTTGTGTACAAATCTCTCCCCATCTTCACGTGATTAACTTTCAGTACATTTACCTGTGACCCTGCCTCATTCATGGTTTAAGCCCTGTTATCTTTATTTTGTAAGCATTTTACATACTTTAGAGAACAAAGTAAGGCACAGAGAATACATATTTTAGTTTGAAGGAACACACAGGGAAGGCGGGAGCCAGGGCTGTTCAAGACAGGCCTGGATTCGATAGCCCTTCACTGCGCGCCCTTGCAGTGGCCTTGGACATGCTCTGTCCACTCTGCGTCTCCAGTTCCTGCCCAGCTGAGGAGGGAACGAGCCTCCCTTGCAGGGTAGTTGTGCTGTGCACATGAGATCATGTGTGTTAAGTGCCGAACACGGGACCTGGATCTGGATGCTGCCATTAGATATTAGTCCTTTCTTCTATCTTCCAGTGTGTCTTTAAAAAGTAAGCTATCCTGCCCTGGCTGGTGTGGCTCAGTGTTGGGTGATGACCCGCAAACCGAAAGCTCATGGTCCGATTCCTGGCCAGGGCACATGCCTGGGGTGCGGGTTCAGTCCCCAGTCGGGGTGCCTTTCAGTGTGTACAAAAAGGCAACCAATCGATGTTTCTCTCTCATATCAATATGTCTCTCCCTCCCTTTCTTCCTCCCTTGCCCTCTTTCTAAAAAATAAAACAAAATAAAATATTTTTAAAAGAATTCTGGATCCCTGGTTGTCAGAGAGTTAGGGTTTTATCTGACAAAGGCTCCCGGGCGTTCACCCCTTGCTACCTGGCGGTCAGAATTTCCTCTGCTGCTCTGCTGGGACTGGGCCTTCACGCGCGGGTTCAACTCTGCTCTCGGTCTGACCTTGCTATTGCCTTGTCTCTCCCTCTTCAGCCTTGTAGCGGAGCCTGGGAAGCCGCATCCTGTGGAAAGATGGAAGATCAGATGACTGCTTCGGGTCAGGCTCGGAAATATGTGAACACCTTCTCCACCCGGACTCTGGTCATGTGAGATGCTGCCACAGAAGCATTATGGTTTCAGAACACTTCAGGGCTTTAGGTGCACCCATTCCTCTATGTGGAACTTTTCATAAATGGGAGAAGAACCTATTTTTGTTGTGGTACAACAGTTGAGAGAGGCACCAAGTGCAGTTTAGCTGGATGAAGTCTTAACCGGCTTTCGCTCAACTAAAATGATAAGAAAATAAATAACAGTCTTACCTAAATTATTAGGTAATGAATTTTAGTCAGTTGTTAATATTGTAGTGAAGATTTTTTTGAAACAGAAAGCAATTTACCTGGATTCTAGGAGATTTAACATACCCATATTTTTTCATAATGAGGTTTTTGAAATTTTACGCACAAGAAGGTCCTCCAATATTTCACTTTTCTCAGTCACTAAACACAATGCATTACTATAAATGTTGGTTTTGGTGCCGTAGGGCAACTAATCAAGATTGTAAATGCTCATTTATGCTTCACAACATTGGAAGTCTGTCTCTTGTACCAAACCATTTTATGAGGTTTTTTTGTAAGCTTGCTCTAAAAGGTGTCACTGTATGAAATAGTTTTATAAAAAGATTTATATTTTTATTCAGTAATTTAATTTTGTATATGCCAAATGGAAAATATGTTTTGCTGCTACAGTCTTAGCCTGTAGACCTGCTGCTAGTGTGAGAGCAGTAGAGCTTTGGAAAGAAAGAAAACCTTGGTGATCGGTAATCGACTATGCACTAGTTTGTCAGACTTTTTTATTTTTTATATATATACTTTTTTTTCCTTTTGTAATACATTGGAAAACTTATTTGGGAGATTTCTGCATTTGTTCCTGGTGTGTTGTCATTGTTGTTGTTACTCTTGGTTTATGAGAGCATGTGTTGCACTTCTTTTTTTTGGGAGATCTATGTTAGTGGTGTTCTATGTTTTATTTTGAGTTTACCTCCCTCTTCTTTAACTTGGGAGTTACAATGTGTTGTTCACCATTCCTCGTGGTTTTTAAGTGCCTGGTTTCAGAACTGCCACACGTAACCCTTGTTTGTAGCTGGTGAGAAGAGTCGTGGGTCTTTTGGAAGTATTTGGTGCACAGTGGCTAGCCCAGACCTGTTGGTATGACAGTGTACTAACTGCCTCAGAATGAAATAAAGCTCTGGCCTTATTTTACTTACTTTTGACGGCTCTCTTACTTGTGATTGCGGATGTTAGTTATACTTTTTAAAAAATGGAGGGAACCCAGACTTCTTTCTTCTGTTCATGTGCGTACCATCTAAATGTCATGGGAAGAATCCAAGAATCATGACTTTGGAGAAAGAACAACAGGAATACAAGTTCAGTAGTTCTAGCAGCATTCAAATGGGGCTAATCCAAGGAGAGTTCATTTACAAGGGTACTGATGCCACAGATGTGGGCTGGGAATAGGAGGACCACAGGACTAGCGCGTGCCTACGGGTGCGAGCCTGAAGAACTCTGCCTTGTGCAGGGGGAGAGTCAGAGAAAGCAGGAGTGCTTGGGAGGAGCCGTGACCTTTGGAGACCTTACAGGGACAGCCAAGTATAATTCTTGACTTTCCTTCCCCTATTCCTCCCATCTCTGCCAAGGGTTCTCCTCACTGGCAGAACCAACCAGAAGTGAGAGAGTGCCTGGATGTAAGGCAGCCAGCCAGCCTTTTCAGGCAGAGCCAAAGGACATTTATCTGTTGGGGCAAGGACAGAGCATCCCGGCCAAGTCATCCAGCCCAGCTCTCTGTGTTACAGATGAACATCCCCTGGCTTCTGTGTCTCAGCGCTGTGTTCTTTTCACCGCACTATAGTACCCCTCTCACACGGGTCCTTACAACTGCCTTCAGTCACTCTCAGCTCAGACTGGGATTCTCATACGCATGATGCCCTTGGTGTCCCTAGAGCCAAGAATTTGTCACCCCTGATGACTAGTCTTCAAAACTTCACTATTCTTTGATTGTATTTCTGATAGGTAACAGTATACCATCTCAGTATTAGGAAGCTTTTTATATTCGTGCACTCTTAACATATTTTCCAGGTGCTGACTTGCCTGTCCAAGTCAGGTTTCCAGGTGCTGTCCAAGCAGTTCGAACTTGGACAAGTCACTAACCTCTGTGCCTTTTTCTTCATGTGTGAACAGTGCACCATACAAATGTGTTTGTTATTACATATGCTTTCCATAATTAAGTGATGCGGGTCATGTAGTAGATCAGATGTTCATCTGGCCAATAATGTGCACTGCTGATTGCAGAACGAAACTCAGCGGTCCTGTTGTCACTATTAAACTAATGGCAGGGGGGAACTCAGCATTACACAGAACAGAAGTAAATATTTACTTTTCCAGCAAGTAGGTAAACCACTAACTAGAAACTGGAAACCTACACTCATGAGAAGTAGTGTAAATTTAGGTTTTATATACAAATACTTGTATTCATAAAACTCCCATTTCAGAAGCATCTCTAAAATATTTATTTATCCTGGTCATTTTTTTTTAAGTCTTCCTGCTTTCTGCAGCAGAGATTCCAGTAGTAACGTAAACTGAAACAGTATCACTTACTACTCAAAGGTAGGTTGTCCTTTTGAGTTACTATGTGTTCAGCTTGTGTCCACATGTGCAACGCTGGGGGACAGGACCCATGCTGAGAAGATTCCAAATTGTCTCCCAGCTGCTAGTGAGACTGATAACCCAAGATGAGAAATATGTGCAGTGAAGAACTTTTTGTTTCATTAAAATGATACTCTTAGAACCAAGAAGGACCTTAGCCATCACAAGGGGCTTCTAATAAGGGGCTTAAAACATTGCTTTATTGAAAGAAAATCCTATTTGGAGCCCAGCCAATCTTGGTTTAAATTCAGACTCTGCTCTTCACTGTCTCTGTGACTTTGTATGACTGTTACTTAATCTCTCTAAGCTTCTTTTCACTTATATTGGAAATAAAAGTACACCTCAAGCTTGGTGGGTGTTGTGGAGATTCTGTGAGATACTACATGTATTCTTGCATCTTTGTCGCAGTGACTGTTGATTGGGTAGGTCACCGTACTGACTGATAGTCAAAGGAAAAACATGTCTATTGCCCATCGGCAAAGAGGTGGGTACCACTGAGGTCCATGTCCCTAATTGTGTGTTAAGTTTACTCTTTGTATGAAAACTAACTTTAAATCTAAGTTATAGCTTCTTAAAGTATTAATAATCATTCAAAATATTCATAATCACTCTTTTAAAAATATTTATAATCATTCAGTATTCGTAATATTCATATTCATTCATATCCTCTTAAAATATTCAATCATGTATTGAAATATGTGGGGAATATGGTGCATAGTTTTTCTTAAACTTGGTTTCTAATTTGCAAAGAAAAACACTAGCAGATAAAATATGATGTGCTGGTCAATTACACTGCATCTAAAATACAAGTTTTGGTGCCTATTTTTCTCCTTTAACCATTGCTATTATAAAGTTTTATTCACCATTTTAGAGGGTAGAATCAAGAAAAGGAAGTCAGCTAAAATGCAAACCTCTGTTTTTAAATTAAATTGATTGGGGTGACATTTGTGAACAGCGTTATGTAGGTTTCTAGTGTACAGTTCTGTGATCCATCATCTGTGTGTTACATTCACCACCTGAGTCAAATCTCCTTCTGTCACCATGTATTTGACTCTCTTTTTCCTTTACTACTTCCCCCACCTCCTTCCCCTCAGGTAATCACCACGTTGTCATCTGTTTCATTTGTTCATTTGGCAAAACTCTTGCCCGCAATTTTGCATAGTAATTTTGGGAACTGCAGCAAGAGAAAGCTGAACTATAAGTCTCGGAGAACTTGTCAATGTTTTGGTAATAAATAGGTAAGAATTCTTTTAAATCAACATCCAATGCAAATGTTCTGGATGCCAATATGGAAATTGGAGACATTGATATTTGCCTTTTGAAGCGTTTCTTTTGTTCAATTAGTGTATGTTCAGCACCTACTGGATGCTAAGTGCTATGTTTGAAGTTGGGGTAGAGTTCAGAACAACATAGATTTAAAAAACCTGTGCCTATTGTGTGCCTTATGTTTTGCTGGCCACTACAAATGAGTAAGTGGATAATTGCAGTACGGTTGTAACAGAGGTGACAGAGGCCAACGAGCACAGCGGATCCAGACCTGGAGGAGCAGCACAGGTTTAACACGGACTGAAAGATAAGGCCAAGCTAAAGGAGAGCCAGGAGTTGGAGGGGGCAGCAGGGTGGTGATAGCCTCTGAGATTTGCAGAAGGAAAACACCCCAATGCAATGACCTGTCTCATTTCACATTGCAAATGGGCACTCAGGCAATCCTGCCTGAGGCTATTGTCTAGTATATTCTTTTCCCTCAAGCTCCAGCAACAAGCTGCACACACCTTCTCAGGGTCTCCATCACATCTCCACCCGAAGCCCAGCGAATAACCTTGAGTCATCCATTCAGGAGCACACAGGAGTACTCACCTTCTTGTACCAAAGCCAGCCTGGGCCTGCAGGGTCCTGAAGTCCTTGCCTTTCATCTGGTCGGCGTAGATGAGCACCCCCAGCTGCAGTCATTGGCCAGACTTTCCTCTTGGTCTCTACAAAGCCATCCCCTTGTATCCTCCAGGGCCTCGTCCTGAGGATACTATCTCTTCCTCCAACATCATAACGTATTCCTCCAGAGTCATTCTTACCACACTAACGGAGTCTGCATCTCCCAGTAGTAAAAGACAGTTCCCCTTCATCCCATATCACCAACACACTGATCCATTCATCCATCTGCTCCTCTTCTCAGCGTGACTGCTTGCAGGGGTGCCCACGCCGTGGCTCACGGGTCGTGTGCAGCGCAGGTTGGCTGTGAATGCAGCCCAACACAAAACTGTAAATTTACTTAAAACATGAGATCTCTGTGTGTGTGTGTATGTGTGACTGTGTTACATTGCACTTAATGTGTGGCCCAAGATAATTCTGCTTCTTCCAGTGTGGTCCAGAGACGCCAAAACGTTTGGACGCCCCTGGAAGGGATCTTCTCTCATTGCTAGTCCATGCCACACGAACTTTCTTCGCCCCTGCTCCAACTTGCTCGCCCTGTCCCTGTCACCAATGGCCTCCATGCTGACAAATCCTGGGCTCACTTCTTGGGCTTCACTTTCCTTGGCCTCTCAGCAGCCTTTCCCAGAACTGCCACTCCACTTCCTGGACCACCTTCGGGACACTGTTTTCCTCCTTCCTCGCTGGATTCCTCTGTTCGCTCCTCTCCTGCCCTTGGCCCCGAGGTGGCTGTTTTCTTCTGTATCATTTTCCCGAAGGGATTGCCTTGTTGCTGCTGCTTTAAATACCAGCTCCGTCTTCTGGAATTGCAGACTCCTGTGTCCTATTCCAGGTTAACATCCTCCCCACATAAGCGTTTTACATTTAGTCGAAACCAAACAAAATGCGTAATCCCTCAGTGCTTGTAGTTTTCTCATTCGTAGTAATTAGCCCTAATTTCCCAATTAATTTTTTCATTCTTCAAGCCAAAAATGTGTCATCTTTGATGTCTCCCTTTACCTTATTACCTCTTGTACACCCGAGTGCTCAGAATATACCTGAATGCGGTGCCTTGAAAATGCGTGTATATTTTCAAACATGTCCACTTTTCTTTACTGTCAATGATGATATTATTGGCAATGGCACAGTGTGTGTGAAGTGCTCACTATGTGCTGGGAAGGAGAAGGGGGGGCGGTTTCTGGCAATGAGAAGGCAGCAGTGTCAGAGAGGTCGGAATGAGGAGTGACGGAAGGGAGGCCTGGGGGAGTGGGAAAGGCAAGAGGCTGCAGAGCGAAGCCCAGAAGACGTTCTTTAAAAAAGCATGAGCTTTGTCCTGAGGGGGATGGGTCTTATTAAGTGGCCTTAGGCAGGGAAATAAAATGATTAATTTATACCTGATTTATATGAATAATTTTGTTCGGATCCCTCTTTCACAGACAGTATAAAATTAAACCTCAGGTTAGCAGGGCCAGATGATTGCAGTTTAAATATTATATCCAGTGAATTGGATTTTACATAGTACATTTCCTATTGCTTCTTAATTCCAAAAGAATGTGCATTAATTCCAGAAAGTCTTACTGAAAAAATCCTTTGATCTGAAGTATACAAAGAGATTTTTCACATTTTATTGTATGTAATTCAGTACAGAAAGAATT